TTTTTTTTTTTCATAATTAGGGATTGAACTCAGGCCCTTGTGCTTGCCAGGCAAGTGCTTATTCTACTGAGCCATCTCCCCGGCCCCCTGTGTTTTAATTTTAATGTCCCCTCAGTGAAAGTCACATTGTGCGCCTTAGATATGAACAATTGTGCATCAGTAAAAAATACTGACAGTGTAGCTTACTAAGCCATTCATGCTGAAGATTGCAGTTTTTTTGAATTTTTGTACGATATTCATATATGTTGCCTAGAAAAATTCAAGAAACAAGAATTTGAAGAGATCCCAGCACTTGCGAGGCTGAAGCAGGAGGACTGCTATGAGTTCAAGACCAACCTGAGCTACAAAGCAAGACCCTGTTTCAAGAAAAATATATATATAAATTTTTTAATTTTAGGGAAGGGTCTACAGGGCATTCAGGGTCTCACTATTAGATTGGACTCATAGTGATCTGCCTGTGCATAGCCTCCCAAGAGCTGGGATTACAGGTGCACTTCACCATGCCCAGTCTCAATCACTGTCTCAGTGTGCCCTGAGGGTGAGCTGGCACAGCAGGCTCAGGGGTTGAACCCCTATCCCCTGTGCCTGCTTGCAGGTGCTTTAATCCACTGAGCTATTTGGCCAGCCCTAACTCTTTGGTTTTCTAAAGGCATTTTTTTCCTCTGATTATAATGACCATGAGAGGGTTTTTGGATTGCTTTTAGGGCACTAAAGGCCCTTAGATTATAACAATGTTGTGTTGAGTGTATGTTTGTTATGGTTTGTGTCTGGTTGTCCCCCCCAAAGCCTCATGCAGTCATAAGGCAAGCTTCTAGAGTTTGATTAATTCATGATCCAGGGCTGGGATTATGGGTATGAACATTATACCTGCCCTGGAGTAGATGGCTGAATGCAATATAAGGAACGGAGAGAGGCTTGTCCCCTGCCTCTGCCCCTGCCCACTGCAGCCCTTGTTCCTCCCTTTGCTCTTGCTGTTTTCTGCCACCACGAATGGTTGCCCTCTGCCAGGTGCCACTCGCCGGGGAGCCAGTCGAGTATGGGTTGAAACCTCCACTAACTGTGAGCTAAATAAACCTTTCCTTCCTTAATTTTGGGTGTCAGGTATGTTGTCCCTGCAATGAGAGAAAAGTAAGACGTTTTCTTCCTAGCAGTTATGTAATTATAATTTCAGGACAGTATCTTGGATGAGCTGGATAAAGACGACAGCACCCATGATTCCGTGTCCCAGGAGTCAGAGTCGGAAGAGGATGGCATTCACATAGATTCACAAAAGGCTCTTGCTCTCAAAGAAAAGGTAACTTGTTCAGTTAGTCTTAGGTTCGTCCAGGTGGGAAGGTCGTATAGAAAGTCTGAGCTCGGGACTCTCTTCCACTTGTGTAGTGTGGGGGTGCTCAGACTTTAAATTGGCATTGGCGGTGTCTCACGGAGGGGAGGCCAGTGTCTAGGTGAAGGGTGCGTGCTCTGGAGACGGATTAAATGCTGGTTCCAGGCCATAACAAGTTCCTTACACCGCCTGTACCTCAGTATCTTTTTTTGTCGGTTAGATTAATATCACCATATTTCAATGAATTGTGAGTATAAGTGAATTATTACATATAAAGTGCTTGTGTTGTGCTGGAGTTGTTCCAGAATTCTTAGTATTAGACAGAAGCGCTGTAGTTTGAGGTCAGTGCGTGATTCTTGATGTACATGGTATAGTCCACTCTGTGTCATAGGCCATTTCCGGTTTCTGGAAGAGAAAGCTGACTGCTGTAAAGCCAACTGTGTGGCTTCACGGAAGGCTGGGACACTTCTTTAAACTTCTCCTTGATGTCTTCGTTATGTCTCTGTGGGTTGGCACTGCCAGTGGAAGGACGAGAGTGGGGATTTTATGTGTTTTTCTGCTAGGGCTTTTGGGTTGTGGCCATACAATGACTGTGTAGTAAATTTCAGCCTTGTAAGAAGACCATTTTGTCTTTTTTCAGGGCAATACATTCTTTAAACAAGGAAAATATGACGAAGCAATTGAATACTACAGCAGAGGCATGGATGCTGACCCATACAATCCTGTGCTGCCAACCAACAGAGCGTCAGCCTACTTTAGATTGAAGAAGTAAGGACTTCTGGGTCTGTCGTGTCTGTGGCTAGACTCTGTATTACATGTGTGAGCTACAAAAATGATTGTTTTAAAATATATTTAGTACAGGGTCTATAGGGTCTCACTACACAGATCGCACTCGTGGGGAGCCTCCTGTTTTCAGCCTCCCAAGCGCTGGGATTATAGGCATGCACTGCCACGCCCAGTCTTACTTGCCGGTCTCGGTGCGCCCTGGGGCGGGGCTGGCAGACAGGCCAGGGATCGAATCCCCCAGGCCCTGTGTCTGCCTAAGCAGGCGCTTTAATCCACTGAGCTATCTGGCCAGCCTTTAAAAATTACTTTAAAATAAACCCACCTAACAGTTTTAAGAGCTGAGTATTAGTGTTATTTTTGAAGCCACCTTGAAACTCTTCCATATTCTGCTCCATCTCTTTCTCAGCTAACTATTATGTTTTTAAATTTTGTGACAGTTCAGTACTTTCTCTTTTAGTTCACACCCTGTTAAGATAAGCTTCTAGGTCTTAGCAGTAGCTTTGGTCACTTTGGGCACAGAGCCAAGTACAGTTGTAGATCTGCATACAGACAGCTCGACTGCAGATGAACTTGTGTTCTTTCCCAGATATTGCCCTGAGCAGGTGTTGGGGGCTGCTGCCTCTGCCTCCTCCCCCTGTGCCCCATGTTGTGATTGTCCTGCAACCAGGCTGGCCTTGGAGCCGTCTCTCTCTGCACCTTGAGGTGCAGGTCAAGTTGGGAGAGGAAAGGCCCCATGGACTAACCACTGTCCTGAATTATGTAGTTGTCACTCTTCTGATTAAAAGAAAAGATTGAGGGCGGGGAAGATAGCTCAGCAGCTTTCGCATCTGCCTGGCAAGCACGAGGTCCTTGTAAAACTGTTTATTTGTTTTAGATTTTCGAGACAAGGTCTTGCTATGTAGTTCAGGCTGGCTTTGAACTCTCAGAGATCCTTCTGCCTCCTGAAGGCTGGGATTACAGTCATGCACCACCATGCCCGGCTTGTTTTTGAGCCTTAAAAATATGAAATCTGTCTGTAGTCCTTTGTGGTTTACCTGTCTCTTTTAGTATTTCTGTGATTAATTCTTGTTTTACATACAGCTGTGGTGCTCTCACTTCTCATTTGTAGCTCTAAGATACCACTGTGTCCTTTTCCTGTTGCGGTACTGTCACTCCTCCCTTCCTTTTCCCACCTCCTCCTCTCCTCCCGTGCGGCGTGTTTCAGATCGCGATGCGATGAGCATTTCTTCAGTGCTTCCTGGTGTGGGTCCTGGCCATGCGGCGTGCACGGGTGCGGCTGATTCTTACAGAGGGGCAGATCTGCAGTCCTGTGAGCGATCTAGAAGGACGCCTGCTCAGAGTCCTTGCTAGTACTGTGTACGGGGATTGGGCTTCTTAATTGTTTTAAATCTAATGAGTATAAAATGGTATTTCTTTTGTAATTTGCATTTCTTTAAAAATTAGGTTGAGGAGGGGCAGGGGAGATGGCTTAGTAAAATAAGCACTTGCCTGGCAAGCACAAGGGCCTGAGTTCAATCCCAATTCCGAAAAAAATAAACAAAATAAATAAAAATTAGGTTGAATGTCTTTATATGTTTATTCACCACTTTTTTCTTTGAAATGCTTGTTTTGTATTTGGGCCATTTTTGTTTTGTTTTTATTTTGTGTTTTGAGACAGGATCTTACTAGGTAGCACAGACTGGTCTCAAAATTGCGGTGATCCTCCTGCCTCAGCCTCCTGGAATTACAGATCATTTTTGTTAGTCTGTTTTTCTGTTGATTATTTAAAAGTTTTTTGTTCTAGATACCAATTTTTGTCACTTGTAATTGGTTTCTTTCGTTAATTTGTAGCATAGCTGTTTTTCAATTCTAGAAATCAGTAATACTTTATTTTATAAAATAACATAAATGTTTCCAGACAGGAACTCTTAATTTTAACATAGTTCAAGTTAATTGATATTTTAATGATTAATCTTAAAATTAATGACTAGTGCCTTTAAAAAATAATTTGTATACTGTCTTGAACTGATAAATCTTCTGTATTTTCTTCTAAATTTAAGTTTTACTTTTCACAGGTGTTGATGTTAGGATTCCGCATTCCTACTTCCCAAACAGATGCCCAGTTTTTCTAGTTTTGTTTATGAAAGAGCTGTGCTTCCTTTGCAATTTTTTTTTTTTTTTTTTTTTGTGCTGGGCGTTGAACTCAGGACCAGGCAGGCACGGATGCCACCAAGCTGTCTCCCCATCTCCTGGGGAGCCTTCAGCAGCGCTGTTGTCATCCGCCAAGTGTGCCTGGACCACTTTCTTTCCTGTGTCGTACCTTGGCCTTGCCCGTCCTTGTCTTCATGCCACACTGGTCATCGCAGTCCTGTCTTGATACTTAGTGCAGGCGTATTCTTGGCCTCAGTTTTCAGGAATATCTTGGAACTTTGCTCATCAGTATTGATTTTACAATCACTTCATCATACTTACTGACATATCCTGTGAGGATTTTGATTAGAATTGCATGAGATTTATAGATCAGATTGGAGAAAATTATAAAATTATTATATCTTTTGTGCCTTATTATGGACAAACGTGCAGTATTTCCACTTAACTTCTCTTTAATGTCTTGGAAGATCATCTTACAGTTTTTGCCTGGATATCTTATACTGCCTTGATATGGAAGGGCAGTGCTTTCCTTTGCACAGCTCCGTGTGGAAAGCAGCTGCCATGCGGAACTGTCTGTCTGTCTGTCTGTCTGTCTCTCTCTCTCTGGTACAGGGCTTCACTACACAGCTCGGACTTATAGTGATCCTCCTGGCTCAGCCTCCCCCGAGCTTGGATTACAGGCGTGTCCTGTCCCCCCCCCCCCGTGCCCACTTTCAGTGGCTGGCATGGCGTGGCCCAGGTTCTGGGGCTGGCACAGCATGCAGTACCAGGGATCGAACACAGGTCCTTGCACGTGCCATGCAGGCCCTTATACTGCCGAGCTGTCTTCCCCAGCTCCTCTTGCTGAACTTTCATTATCTTAGTAATGTATCTAATATCTAGATTTTTTTGTTTTTATCTTTTGGGGGAATGCTGAAGATTCAACCTCGGGCCTTCCGTACCCCAGGAAATACTGCCACAGAGCTACCCTCCAGCTCATTGTCAGTCTCCTCCCTGTGTTCCTTTCTCGTGGGGCTGCGTCGAGGAGGTTCTCTAGTGCAGTACTAAGAAGCAGCAGGGATATGAAGTCATCTTGTTTCTTCCATCAGAGTGACTACTACTGAAGATTTACCATTAAGGATGATTGCTTTTCACAGGGTTAATTAAATAAGAAGAAGTGGAAAACATGTCTGTAGTTAGGAAGAAAATTATCTTTCTAGGTATTGGGGATTTCAGAAACAATTTTTGGAGTTTTGGTTTAATGTATGATTTTTATTAACTTTGTTCTAACCTTTTATATTGCAGATTTGCTGTTGCTGAGTCTGATTGTAACTTGGCAATTGCTTTAAATAGAAATTATGCAAAGGCTTATGCCAGACGAGGTGCTGCTCGATGTGCTTTGCAAAAATTAGAGGATGCCAAAAAAGGTAGTTAATATTTTTTGTTACCTAACAGTTCTTTACTTTTTATTTATTTTTATGTATTTAGTACCGGGTCTACAGGGTCACACTACACAGATCACACTCCCAAGTGCTGGGATTACGGGCCTGCGCACACCACCACATCCAGTCTCATTGGAGTCTCGGCGCGCCCCGGGGGCGGGGCCAGCCCGGCCCTCCCAGTGTGGAACCCTGCTCCCTGCATCTGCCTCAGCAGGCGCTTTAATCTGCGGAGCTCTGTCTGGCCCCTAAAAGTTCTTTAATAGCTTAACCTAGCAGACAGTACGCAAACAATACTACACAATTACAGTTAACTGCCTTCAGAGAGCTTTGCATAATGTGTAGCAGCAGAGCTCAGTTTTTGTTTTTAAAGGTATCTTGATGTTTCGGGAAACAGTGCATGATTTGCCGCCAGCGAGCCCGGTTTACAGTGTTCTTCTGGCAGCTCCTGGTTGTGGGGCCAGGAGCTTCTCTGGGTTTTAGTTTCTCATCTGTAAGATGGAGATTAAAGCATCTTACTGGCTATTACAGGGTAAGAGGTAGTGCATTTAAAACTTCATGTTTTTATTTGTTAAAATCTATGGCTTCCATTATGTAAAATAGATTTGCGCAGTATAAACTAAAAACTACCAATAAAGCTGATACTTAATAGATTTTGCTTCTTGGTTTAATGATATATATCTTATGACAGGAGATGACTTGTTATGGATTCTGTTAGGATTTTGTTTGCTGTGGGGCATGATGAAGCAATAATATTTCTTAGCTATTCATTTTGCTCTACTGTATAGGTACCTGTATATCACGTGTAACAGGTGAGTTTTGTTTTCTGTAAGTATTTTAGATACTTACCTTTTCAAAATTTTAATATTTTATTTAGATTATGAAAAAGTATTAGAACTGGAACCAAATAACTTTGAAGCAACAAATGAACTCAGGAAAATCAACCAGGTAAACTATAGCTACTTAAAGGAATTACAAATGACCTTTATTTAATGAATTTAAAGCTTTTCATGGAAAATAAAGATATTTTCTAATTTAATTTCTGTGTACTGTAGAATTTTACCAAAAGATTTTGCAAGCTAGAAATGGTATAATGGTATTCAAAGGTCCTTATTGATCATCATCTGAATCTGTCTAGAGCTGCTGGCTCTTTACTTTTTCTAACAGGATTATTTTTTCTTTTTTTGGCAGAACCAGGGGTTGAACTCAGGCCCTTGAGTTTGCCAGGCAAGCGCTTACTCTGCTGAGCGGTCTCCCGGCCCCTATTTTTGCTTTGTTTCACATTTTTCACTTTTGGCGTATGGTTTGATTTCTGTGCCTCATCTTTGGTTTGTCTAATGACACCAAGCAGTTGTGTGTTCCTCTCACTTGGCCTTTGAATCAAAGTTACAGTTGTTTTACCATTTTTGAACAAAAAGAAAGTGACATTGATTGGGGAAATCTGCTTTTAAAATTAGCATTACTTAATAATACATAAAATCGTTGGTCAGAATAGCAGTTTCATTAGAGTTGTGAACTGTACTGTGTTGTATATTCTCTGAAGTCAAATAATGACTGAATATTAAATGTAAGAATTTGGTGATGTTTGGAAAGATCTCCTAAAACAGCAGCTGGTGTGCTTGAAAATTTAGTAAATATTTATGTAATAAATAAATAAACAATGACTTTTAATGGATTTATTGGATACTACTTATTTTTAATTTTTAATTTTAATTTTTTTTTTTTTTTTTTTTTTTT